TTTGTTCCAAGGAACTCATTTGAGAGACTGGTCCCAATAAAAGCAGTAATTTTCCACACATTATACATGCTGGCCCTCTAGAGGAGGAGGAGAAGAGGAAAAGGAGTACCCGCTGTGGGGTCCCCTTTCACCTTTGTGACAGTTTCACTGTGCACATAGGATATGCAGGGCCTAAGGTCTCAAATGAGCTGCCCTTTTGAAGCTTTTATATAACGGGAAGGATGCAAGGCAAGGAAGCTTGCTGCTGCTGACATCTGTCTCCAATTTGCTAACAACCCTGTGGTTCTTGCAGATGTTTTCTCAGAGAAGCCCTTCTAGATCCATCTTAAGCTGATGGCAATGTGGAGTTCTGCTTTATGATGATAGCAAGCAGATACAGTAAATAGGCTTATACTTTTTTTTCAAGCAAAAATGCCTTAAGTGAGCAATGACTGAAAATAGACACAAGGAGGGACTTGGAAGAAGCAAGCTGCGTCCAGGTTCTTAGTCTGGGCTGGACCGCAGGAAGGAACCTGAGTCAGTGTGGCTCTTTATTTTGGAACACTTCCGAATGTTCATGTCCCTGAATAGTTTTCCCTTCCCTTTTAGCCAAATCCTTCTACTGTGACTAGAACTACAAGATAAGCTACTGTGTAAGTACAGATATATGTGCCTCCCACATGTATACGCCAGTACATAGGTTCCTCACAGCTCTCCTCATGTAGCCTGACAGGCTCTTCTTGTCAGTTAACGCTTTCTCTCTCCCTCTGCAGTTCCTTTCCCTTCAGTGACTCACCAATCAGACTCTGGGCCTCATATCTCCTTGTAGGTTTTTGCATGTTTTTCTGCTTCCTAGGAAAACTTAAGGCAAACAAAAACAAATTAGCTGCACACTCTTACTTAGCTTCACTTTCTCTCTTTACCTTTTCATTGTTGTTGAGACTATTTTACAAGAGTAACTACATTTACATCATTTACCCTCTCTTCGTTTCTTCCCACGTCCATTACTCCTTGTCAAATTCATGACCATTTCTTCAATAATTAATGTTACATGGACACACACACACACTCATACTCACCTAACTTAAAAGAGGTTTCCATGTCTGGTATTGACATTTTTGTTAGTCTGTAGCTCTCTTGGGAGAGCATTTTGACCCCATGTGGCATAACTCCATTCAAAATACACACATACATACCCACATATATTTACATGTAATGATATATATTATATATTTTTAAGTAAACATAGGTTTCCCTATGGCTTTTTCAACAGTGTTATTATCCCTTTTCCTTCCTCCTCAGTTACAGGTCCTATTATGAAATAATCTTTGTACACCATGAAGATGTGTCTTTGCCAAAGTGCCTTCTGATTGGTTTAATAAAAGGCCGACTGGCCAATAGCTGTGCAGGAAGAGATTAGATGAGAGCGCCAAACTAAGAGGGCACTGGGAGGAAGAGCAGAACCACCACAAATCATGAGGAGATGTGGAGAGAAGCAAGATGAATATGCTATGCTGAAAATAGGAGCCACTGTGTGATAGAGCATAGACAAGGAAATATGGGTTAAGGGTTAGTTAGTAACAAGCTAAACATTTATACCTAATAATAAATCTCTGTGTGGTTACTAGGGAGATGGTAGTCCCCAGGCAAAACTCTGCCTATGTGGGACAACATATAGCCACATAAAACCTGAGAAAGCTTAAGAAAATTTTCCAAACACACACACACACACACAGAGTCAAACACAGTTTCCTAGTCTTGTGTCTCTCACTTGGGCCCCAGTACAAAGAGATCCCTGGGGCCTTGAGCCACCAGCATGAGCCCCATCAACACACCATGAGCTAAGCCACATGGTGGGTTCCTATAGTCTCTATGTGGCCTGCAGTCTAGAGTCATCTCCTGGCTGCTGCCTATGGGCTTGAGCTTCCAGTGTGAGCCCTGCCAGTATGTCATGAGCTAAGCCATATGTTGGATTTAAGGTTTTGCTCATGCAAACAGAAAAGGTTACATATAAACAATAAAGGCAGATCCAGACCCTGGTGTGTGTGGGGGGGTACTCAAGTGTTTTACATTTGTACATAGCATAGATTATGGATCAATTTAAGTTGTAAGACCTAGTTAGTAATAAGCTTTATGATTGATAATGTCTCTTTGTGGTTATCAGGGAGCTGGCAGTCCTGACCAAAAACAAAAAACACAAAAACAAAACTCCTCCTACAGCTTCCCCCTCTTCATTTTTCTCATTTCCCCTTTCAGAGCACCTGTGTCCTAATATCTCCCTCTAGAAGTTCTCATTCCCATTCCCATGGTCCCCTTTTACTTTGTTGGCTTCTGAAGTTACCTCAGGTGATGTATCTGAGGATTCAGAGCTAGGATCCACATATAAAAACATCAGTCTTTGTCTTGGGGGGTCTAGGCTACCTCACTAAGTCTAATATTTTATAGTTCTACTCATTTGCCTGAAAATTGCACAATTTCATCTCTGTAGCTGAATAGATTCCCATTGAGTGTATGTATCACATTTTCATTATCTTTCAGTTAAAGGGGTTTAGGTCGTTTCCCTTTTCTAGCTATTGTGAATGGAACAGCAATGCAATCTGTTGTATCAAGTCCTTGTATATACACATCAAGTCTTCTTGTACAGCTTGTTTCCTAATTGAACAATTGATGGTTTTATTTTTCATTCCATTTTCATACAGTTCTCTTCAATATTCATATCTTTTTACTGCAGTTTTCAAATCCTCAATTATATTCCTCACTCTTGTCAGCTGAATATTTGTATTTTCATGAGTATCATATAGGAATTTATTCCTATCCTCTAAGTTCCTGGAGATATTTGCTTATATCTCCAACAAACTCCATAAATTCTTTCATGTCTACAACTGTTCTTTTAAATTCTGTATCCTAGGGTTCATTTTTTTAGAACACTTTTTAGAACACTTCCTTATGACATTTCTATAGTGGGTTGTAGGGGATGCTGTTATCTTGGCCTTTCATATTATTTATGGTTTTGCTATGTGACCTGGGCTTATGGACTTCTTTTATTGGTTGTGTGTCTGATGTGAGATTCTAGCCCACCTCAGGTGGAGCTGTGGCAGGAGCAATGTGGCCAGATCTAGGACTGGAAGACAACACAGGTGACTTGGTGGGGTAGCTTTAAAGTTATTGGCTCCTATGAGCTCACAGGGAATGACAGTACTGGGAGGTGTGGCTTTGTTGGAATAGGTGTGGCCTTGGTGGAGGAAGCATGTCCCTGTGGTGATGGACTTTGAGTCTTCTGTGATCAAGATACCACCCAGTGTTTTAGTCTGTTACCTGTGAGTCAAAGATGTAGAACTCTCAGCTTCTTCTCCAGCACCATGTCTGCCTGAACACTGCCATGTCCCACCATCATGATAATGGACTGAATCTCTGAATCGTAAGCCACCCAATTATGTTTTTCCTTACAAGAGTTGCCATATTCATGGTGTCTCTTCACAGTAATAGAAACCCAAACTAAGACACTTGGTTATGGGAGAGATCACTAGACCAGACCGGTGAAGGAGCTGAACCATTGACCCATATCTTGGGAGTGTGGGCTTGGTGCAGGCAGAGCTCGTTTGGGGGAACTCATCAGGCAAGGATGTGATCATGGCATGGACAGGCAAGGTTTTGGCCTTCCATTCACTTTTGTTTTTAATTTATTTTTTACATTCCAGTACCAGTTTCTCCTCTCCACTCCTATCTGCTCCATGGAGAGTGTAAGACCTCCCCTAGGAAATCTAAGTCTGTCCCATCATCTCGTTGAGTCAGGACCAAGGCACCTCTCTTCCCCCACACCCCTGTGTCTAGGCTGGGCAAGGAATAGGTTCCACCAAGTCAGTCTGTGCCTTAATGTTAGATCTTGAGCCCATTGCCAGTGACCGCCTATATTGTCCCAGTCACACCATTGTCACCTATATTAAAGGAGTCTAGTTCAGGCTTATGCAGGTTCCCCATTTGTTAGACCTCCGTTGCTTCCAGGTTCTTGCTATTACAAATAATGCTGCTATGAACATAGTTGAACAGATGTCTTTGTTGCATGGATATGGATCATTTGGATATATGCCTAAGTGTGGGATTGCCTGATCCTGTGGTAGACTGATTCCCATTTTCCTGAGGAACTGCCATACTGATGTTGAGGATCCCTCCAGGAAGGCATCACCCTCCCTGTGGAGTGGGGGGAGGATGGGATGGGAGGGAGAGGGAACTGGGATCGATATGTAAAATAAGAAAAAAAATATATGTATGTATATATGTATATATTTATCACTGAGTCAGTCCTGGTGGTGGTAGTGCATGCCTTTAATCCCAGCACTCAGGAGGCAGAGGCAGGTGGATCTCTGTGAGTTCCAAGGCCAGCCAGGATAGGCTCCAAAGCTACACAAAGAAACCCTGTCTCGAAAAACAAAAAAAATTACTGAGTTGCTGCAGATCTTTTCCTCCACCTATCCCCATGCTATCACTGAAGGGCGAGGATGGGGGTGCACACATAGTACTCCTGTAATCTCCCTCTCCTGGGAAGAGTGAGGTTAGCTCTAGTTATAGCTCTAGTCTCTAGTCTGTAGCAAGCTTAAAAAACCACCCACCTTTTCCAGAAAGAGTTACCACATGCTACTGATTGTGTGCAAGTGCACGCTTATTTAAGATAAGCAGAGCTACTCTTGTTTTAGAAATAATCTTTTTAAGGTAGGACATACTTACCTTTCTTTTTAATCTTAAGTGTGTGCATGAGAGAGAGGGGACAGAACAGCATTTTGTGTGTATACCAGTGTTGGTAAGAAGCTATTTTGAGCCACATGGGTGCTGGGAACAGAATTCAGGTTCTCCACAGGAATGGCTAAGTCCTCTTAACCACTGGGCCATCTCTCCAGCCCTTCACCTTTCTTTAATAATTATTCTTCCTTTCTTTGCTTAATTACACTTTATAGAATATTATTGATGATGATCTACTTACTTGGTCTTGTGTAGCAGTAAATTCACAACTATAGGAAGCATAAACATTTAAATGGAAACACTAATTTTTATTTTCATGCCGAACTGTGTGGGTACAAACAATTTCCAATAAAACACTATATATATAACAAGCGAAAAATAAGTTAGTACATTGTTACATGGTAAATTTACAGAATTCCATCAACTGACAGTTTTAAGAGCAAACGAGCCTTTTAAGACTTTGGAGCTACATTTAGTCTTTAAAAAAAAAAAAATCAACCCCAATAAAGATGGTAGAGAGCTAGCTATTCAAGTGTTCTTTGAACCAGTCACACAAACACACTTTGATTTTTGGTCACAGACCCCTGCTATGCACAAGACCATTGGAATGCTGGAACAGTCACACATTTGGAGACGGCACAAAGCAAAGCAAGGAGAGAACATGGCAGCCTTGGAGAGGCAGCCTTGGAAAGTGCAAGCGGCGTAAGAACGGGCACCTCAGACGACACGGCAAGGGTGTAAGCATGCTTCCTATACCACGCTGGTGGGACATTTACCAGAACCAGGTTTCCATGCCTTGGAAGATAACCTCTGGTTTTTAAACCCCGAACAGGCTTCAACTGACTATAGTGCAAATCAAACAGCGAGGAGCGAAACGACAGATTACAGACTTCACGGACCCACCTGCTGCTGCTCTACCTGGCATACCACCACCACACGGACAGACACATTGGCAACAGTAATAACTAATTAAGTGTTGATGTGGAAGGCTGTGCGGCGCAGTGAGTGGAGAGCCACCACACAGCAGCCCCGGAGCAAGGCTCCGATGTTATAGACAGGATCTGTACCCCCTCTCTGAGTACTGAATGCCCACAGAACTGTGGGTACCACAGGGGCAGCCACAGCCAGGAGATCCACCAAGAAACTGCTGCTCCAATACTGCCTCACAGCACCTCCCTGAGACAGCGAGAGGATGCTGTCCAACCTTTCTTCTGTATAGGCTGCGAAATCGAGCTCTCTCATGAGGCGATTTGTACCGGCTTCTGTAGCTGCCTTGCAAAATGGGATCTCCACAGGAGACAGAAGGATGGCTGAGTTGGGACTTGCTGGAGTTAAATCAACCATTAAGGCAGAGATGGATTCTGGGAAGCTGCCCATTGAGTCAGCTCCAGATTCATCTGGGGAAGCTGATCTGGTGGGATAGGAGTCCTGAAGCTTTAGCACGCTCTGAATGAGCTCGGAGATGGCCGGGCTGAACTGCACCACGTCGGTCTGCACGGCCTGCTCCACCACCACACTGCGCTCTTCCTGGCTCGCCAAGGGGAGAGCCTCAAGGACTTGTGGCCCTGGGGTCGAATGAACAAACTCCAGGTCACCGGATTCGGTAGTGGTGGCCGTCACCATCTCGTCTAACATATCTGTGCCCTCGGCCATGCTGTCTCCCAAGAGAAGCTCACTGTCAGCACCTTCCTCTGTCACCTGTTCTTCCAGGGATAACCCATCTGCCATCTTGCTAAACGTGCTGCTCAGAGGTAAGCTTTTCTCTGGGGAATCGTAAGAGAAGTCTAGACACAGTTCATCTCTCAGGGCACTGTTGTGTGCCATCTCTATGCTTTGGAGCAGAGACTCCAGCTTCTTGTTTTGGATGTTTATGTCCACAAAGTACTTCTGAATGCCTTTGTCTTTATCAGCCAAGCTGTTCCTCATGGTCTCAATGACCTGTTTGAGCTGTTTGATCTCCTTCCTGGCCTCCTTGAGTGCCAGCTGTGCCTCCACTCTGTGGCACTCTTCTTCAATCCAGTCCTCCCTCATCCGAGTCAGCTGAGACTTGAGCTCCACGATTTCAGATTCCCTAGAGGAAAAGCAGGCAAACTTACAAGCCAAGCCAGCTCTGAAATAACAGTTGACACCAGCCCAAGGCCCATTCTCTTCCACATGAAACACAGAAGTTAAAGCACTTTCAGATTTTTTTGTGTGTTTGTTTTGGCCAAGTATTAGCCATGGAACCTCCCCTTTATTATTAAACAGCTGAGCTAATAATAGTAACCAGAATCAAAATAGCTGCCATTGTTTCCTATTTGAATACCCACTGTGGAGCAGGGATTGTACATACCAAGTACTTTGCTAGCATCATGCTCTACTCAAAACTTAGTATTTGATGTTTCTTAGTATTTGATGTTTCTTAGCCTACCTCTAGCACTGTAGTTCACTCTTTTGTAATGTATATGCACAGCCATAGACCCAAAGACCATGTCACCTTTACTGAGTAAAGAGACTGGGATGATCAGGAAGAGCCTTATATTCCAATGACACTTTTTAAACCATAAAATGCTGTATGTTCAGGAAGAGCCTTACAATAAAAGTTGCTTAGTCTGTGTCACCTCAGAAAAGAGCATTGTGAACCTGTTACACACTGAGGTGACTCTGAGATGTCTTATCATTCACCAAACCTATTTTCAAACCTTTTTACATGTAATTTCTTCAAAGTCAGTGCAAAAATGTATGTATCCTCACGTTACTCATGAATACAAAAGATCAGGCAGTCCATATCATCTTGTATCTGAGAGCTATTTTATCAAGTTTTCCTGATTTTTGATGCATTCTCTAACAAAGGTTCCAAATTTCCCAGGACTTTTTGTAAATCACAGAAGCCTACCCAGAAATGAGCTTGGGTACCAAGTCTCTTTCCATCAGGTAAAGAATCACATTAAATAGGAAGATTGAAAACTCCCTGCCTGCACTCTGTGTCCTCTCTCTACCTCTCTCTATCCTGTGGCAGCAGAGGAGGAGGATAGAGCAGGTCAGTTCCCAGAGAATGCAAATGCCACTTTCCCTAAGCACCAACCACCCCAGTTAGAGCCAGTATGTCTGGTAGTCACCATGTCTTAAGAAGTTCCAAGGGAAAATCATGAAGCAGAAAATCTGACTTGCTCCCAACATGTCAAAAGTTTTTTTTCTGTGTGACAGATCTAGACACAGGCTGAATTTGTTTTTGCCCCCCCCCCCAACCTCCTTAAGCCTTAACACCAGTCCAAGAATAACGAAGCACTTCCTTCAGCATGGAAATAGCTGGCAGGAGTCACAGTACACACAGCTCTCCACTCTCCAGAGATTATCGGGGCGTGATGGGGCCGCTGTGACCTGTTCTACTGGAAGTAGAAGATTGTTCCTGCAAGTGTTCCTGCCATTTAAAAATAATCATGTACACACCCAATTCTTCATAGCAAAGCTGAGTACCCAGGAGACAGGGTCCCCTCTAACCGACCAGCTACTATGAACTGCAATGACCAGGCCACAGTTAGGAAATGAATGTAGCTGAAGACTGAAAAGTAGACCTGTTTTCTTTTTCATCCTTCTGTGTAGCCTTGCTTCCTAGATCTCTTTCTGGAACCCTCAGGCTGTAGAAAACCCACATTTACCTCTCATGAAGTCGGCGCTCAGACTCCTTCAGCTTGGTCCTCAGGTGCCTCACTGTGACCTCCTTCTGCTGCAGAGGAGTCAAATACTGCTCCGGATTTGGGGGTTTGACACCGTGATTTTCTCCACAAGACATATACCTTCCAGACCTCCTGAAATAATCCGAGGAATAAGGTGTTACTCTTTGCCCTATTTTCTTTTCTATGGAAAGGATGGTGATACACTGGATGTCTGTGCACAGCCCCCTCAAATTGGGAAATAATTAAGACATAATGTAATGGGATTATTCCCCAAGGATCCTAACTACTGGGAAGATGCAGGAAATGAAGAATAAACATGATCTGAGTGCATTATATGCATGTGTAAAAAAGTCTAGATGAAAACGTTATTTCATACCAGTAATATATGCCAATGCAAATTCTCTAGACTACTTTTTGTGTGAAGGTTCAATAAAGAGGAGTATTTATCCCTAGTGCATGAATGGGCTTTGGGAGCCCATTCCCTATGGAGTGATACTCTCTCAGCCTAGATTCATGGAAGAGGGCCTAGGCCCTCCCTCAGGTGATGTGACAGACTTTGATGATCCCACATGTGAGGCCTCACCCTCCGGGGAGTGGATGGGAGGACGGGAGGGAACAGGATCTGGGATTCGTATATTAAATAACATTGTTTTTAATTTAAATAAAAATTAATTTTAAAACAGAGGAGTCTCCAGCACATAAGTAAGCTCGACCATGAACTTGATCATGTAGGTACCACTCCAGACTCAATCCCCAGGACTGAATGAGCAAATGCCTCACTTGTGCTTGTGTCTAATGTCCCCTGATCTATGGCACTCTGGACACGCTGCTGCTGACAGCTGGAGTAGAATGGCAGCAGTATGCTGGCACCCTAAGTCTCAGAACAGATAACTGTGTCAGAAGACAGACCGGGACACACCGGCCAATCCTAGGACTGGGACACACCGGCCAATCCTAGGACTGTTTATCACACAGAAGCCTGGGGTGTGTGTGTCCGTGGAAGGATGGGGTAGTGCAGGGGCATTCTAAGGCTTAGGAATGATTTCATATGAAATAGTGCATGCTTGCCTGTGGGCCTCGGCTATCTGTCCAGATTAACAGCTGTAAACTTACTGAACAGTGTGGGGTAGGGAGAGGGACCAGGGGAGAAGGCAGAGACAAAGTGACCTAACTTTCCTCACAACCTGCCCCTGCCTGAAGATCTTGCTTATAATTCCTTGAATTCAGATTGCTCTGAGGTCAGCAGCAGTGTAAGCGTACTGATCTGGTGGGGATGGAAAGTTCCTTGTTCAGAGGGAACAAGGCCACCTCACTCTTCCCAGTGTGTTTTGTGGAGAAGCACTCCGTGTTCTGCAAACACAGCCCAGCTGGAATCTTGGCCCTTCTCAGGCCTGGCTACTAAGCCTGGGCATCCAGGCTGTAAGAGAGCTGACTAATGAGTACAGGGATGCCAGGGAGGAATAGGGCTGTGGAGGGCTGCCAGGCTCTCCTCCAGCTCTGGACTCAAGTCAAACTCCCATGCTGCTTGCCCCGTGTCCCCTACACTCTACTCAATATGGCCACATTCAGTTCCCAACCCTCCAAGTCCTCCTCTAGCCACCCTATCCGGTCCCACCCCTTTCCACCTACTATCAATGCCCCCACTCATTTAGATGTCAAGCTTTATTTTGTTAGTGATTGCTCTGTCCTGAATTGTACCCCTGCCCCACCTCTTACATATTCACACAGCAACAGATGGTTGCAAAATAATCTAAGTTGGTTTTAATATTAGATGACTCCTCCTCTGGGCACTGAGCCCCCTTCTGTTCACCCCTCTATTTCCGGTGTTGAAGACAGAACCTGCTACTCAATAAGCATTTAATGAAGGAATGAACACAAGCACAAATCCACCCTGTGCCTATGAAATGGGAACAACTCCCTGCCACTGTGCCATGTCCCCTCCCTATCCACTAACTAATTGTATTGCCTGGTGGTGTTTCAGCTGGTGGCTTGTGTTCTTTCTGCGTCGACCTTTAAAGGATTAGCTACTGTGAGAAAGAAGTGTCTTATTACAGGTTAAAACAGGGAATCAAGAGTTACACAGTTTTTCCCATCTTAAGGAAAGTTCCAAACTGGACAAAATAAGAGACAGTGGGACTCACCTCATGACTGGACTACAGTCACTTCCTTTGTAGGAACCGGAGTTGCTGCTACTTGGCGAAGAAGGGGCGTAGCTGGGGTGGATGTTACTGGGACTCAGTGGGTTCCTGCACAGAATAGACACAAGGTCCTTTTCCCTTGGGGACGGTGGGCTGCTGCCAGCCTTGTGGGATGATGCTCCATTGCTCCGACCATGGGGACCTCGGCTGAAAGAAGATCATTACAGATGCTAATTAGAGTCCTGGCTGGAGATGCTAAGCTCTTCACATGCTCCTTCCTAAGGCCGCTTACTGCTAAGAAATCTGATTCCTAGAGTTGACTTGGGACAGTGTAGTCACTTAGTGATCCTCATGCCAACTTTATTTTTCTCTCCTTTTATCATAAGTGCCTCCTTCTGCTGTTATTTTAAAGATTCTATTTGGTGTTACACCCTCCTGTAGGAGTCTAATGCCTTTCTACTGAGGAGTTGGAACAGCATTGCCCTCCTGCAAGAATTTCAATACCTTCATTCCCTGTCTCCAGAGTAAGGGCTAGACTCCTAAAGTGAGTCTCAGTCCAATGCATCACTTCTTCCAGCCTATCCTACCATTCCTACAGACACCAATATACCAAATGATCTAGCCTCCTGAAGGGTCTGTGCTTATGTTTGTCTTTACATTTTTGAACTTACCATTTTTGCTGTTTAGCATGATTGCTGAAAGAATTAACTGGGTGTTGAGTCCTGGCACTGCCATTTTCTAAATATTTAGAAAAGCCACTCTATGCACACACACACACAACATACTCATCACACACACAACACCCAGCCTTCCTTGTAGAGTTGGTTTGAAAATCTAGCCTAGTGTGGTACACCCTTGTAACACCAGGACTTGGGACACAGAGGTATAAAAGGCAGGAGCTTAAGGTGCTGTTTGACAATATAACAAGTTTGAGGACAATCTGCATTGCATGAGACCTGTCATGCAAAGTTAAAAGGATATATAAGTTTATTCCAGAAGCTCCCTGAACCTCAGCTCTAAGCTAGTATTACAGGATCAGCATGTTTAGATTTTTCCTGTTCATCTAGTTCCAGAGATTTGATATCCAGTAGAATTTGGAAAGCATCCAGGGAATGTTCAAATTACTTAAAACAAGATAACATGTTTTGTCAGGAGTATTGCTTGGTATTACAGGAAAATTAAGAGGAAGAACTTTTTTTTTCATATAGCAACATTGCTTTGTGAAGACCTCCTCTATCTGTAGCTTTTAAGTCTGCTCTTGTCCCCTGATGCATTCCAGTGAGAAATGTGTGTAAGAGTGGGTGCTGGTGTGAATGTGGGCTCAATGCCTGCCATCACTTATTTAAATTCAAATGTAGTCTCAACTTGCTGTCAACCAAGTACCTTGCACATGAATGAACCCACTGAATGCTAAACTTACAAGTTCTTTCCTCTTGAAATCATCCAAATCCACTCACTGCTTCACAACGAAGGAGACATTTTTATAGGGAACAGATGGGCTGATGGCTCGGTGACAAGCCCACTTCAGCAGCCCAAGGGCGGGAAGAACTTCATGAGTAGCTGAAAGGAACATGTACTCTGGCTTGCATTTTCTTCTCTATGCTTCACTTCTAAGCCTGGTACTGGCTATTGTATTTCCCAATGTGACTACAAGAAAATATGGAGGGTTAACCATTGCAAGTGAGGACAGAATATAAAGAATTACCCTTAACTTCTCTGTTAACCACTCCTTAGGGCAGTGGTCCTCAACCTTTCCAATGCTGGGACCCTTTAAAACAGTTCCTCATGCTGTGGTGACCCCTAACCATATATTGCTAATCTTGCTGATGACATGAATTGTAAATATCTGATATGCAACTCCCAAAGGTGTTGTGAGCCATAGGTTGAGAACTGCCACCTTAAGGGCCTTCTGTGACACTGATGCTGCTCCAGACTTTTTGTGAACACTTGGCTCTCATCCTGACAGATTGATGCAATCACTGTTTCCCATGCTCCCATGCATCACTGTATGTATATATGTACAGCTGATCTGGAATTCAAACCTAGAAAATTTAAAACTTAGCAGTGATGCTTCCCACTTTATAGAAATGGAACACATTGCTTTGGTCCTATAAACAATTCTGTCAGGGTCTCATTTGGATGTGGTTATTGTTTGGACAATTCTCTTGGGCATTTATTTACCCATTCACCTTGCTACAAAGTGCTGAGTTACATGATCTATGACAAACATCAAATTAGGTAATTTCAAGAAAACTTACCTACTTACATGGAAGAAAGCCAAGACTCATCAAGCTATAAAACATTACTTAAGTCTTACAAAACATATAATCAAGTCTTCATATTGTTGTAATTTTAAAAAAGGCAGGGAGTGAGAGGAAGTCAACTTGTGACAGAGCTTGGGTGGAGGGAGGTTTTATTGGGGGAAAGTGAATGGGATGGGGGAAGGGGAGACTTGCCTCTGGGGGCAGGAGTTGTAGAAGGAAGAGAGAGGGAGGGAGAAGACACAGAAAGGCAGAGAAGCAGAGGGAGTGGGAGGTGGGCAGGGCCCTTTTAAAAGGGAACATGGTGAATGGGCACAGGTGGTGCTCTTGGTGGCTGCAGCTGAGAGTATATCATGTCAGAACCCCAAGGACAGGCCAGTACAGATGCCTGAATACTAACACATATGTGTTTCAGGACATAAATGTCATAATGCCTTAGCTAATTTTCAAAAAGGAAACTTTACCTTTTCTCCTTTCATTTATATTAGTCTGGCAGACAAGAGCATTGTACTACATAGAAATGAGAAAATTTGCTCACCCTGAACCTGTTCTGAGTTCCTGGACAGAGTAATGTCAAAGAACATATAGAAACCTCATAGGTGCCCAAGAGATCTCTCTTTCCAAGCCATAGGCCCTTCATTTCAGGTAGCATCACCACCAACAACCCACTGTGTTTTCTTCATCACCATCATTGTCAATGTCCTCATTCCCTGCTGTCATTGCTTTGGTCTCCACTCTGTTACTGTCAATGTCCCAAGTTCATATGTTGGGGCCCTAGTCCCCAAGTCTTAAGTATGTGACTGCATTTAGTGACAAGACTTTTATGCTGGGCCCTTATTCAACTTAACTAAAAAACTGAATTCTGGTATATCTCATCTGCACAGATTGTTTTATATCTATGACATCAATTTTTGATCACTTTTCAAAAAAAAAAAAAACGAGTTTCAGACTAGAATGTTTTCTCTGAGATCTCCGTGTTATTGGCATCTTAAAATGCAACTACAAGCTCCAGTTCCTTTGAAATGCTCATTAAAATTGCTTTCTTTTGGGCTCATTTTCATTGCTACAGTTCACCATGGGGATGTGCTTGCCTACTTCTCAGGGGACCACCTGTCTCATCTATACTGAGAATGTTTACATCCCTCCCCTGTGATCACAGAGGCATTTTATAACCAAAGGATCGAAGGGGTTGCCAGAGCCACAGTGCTTATTTACTTATAGGTTTGTCTGAGACTTGACTTTCAGCATGAAGCTGTGCACTGGAGGCCTCTCAGTGCCCTTTATAAACACCACTCCACCCTTCTGTTCACCCAAGAGAAATAGGAAATATTTGCACAGGGTCCCAGAACTGTAAGCTTATGGAAGCAGAAAGGATCTCAAAAAACATAATCTATTAGTGCTTAAAATGATTTCCGAATGCAATGGCCCAGGACAGTAATGTGACATAATAAAGCCAGAAGACATTGTCCAGGTGGTGGTGGTGGTATCACTGCATCCCTCCTTCTCAGTTCCTGATGGAGCTCACTCTATCACTGAGGGGTCCTGGAACTAGCCCTTCAAAAATGCATCGCATGCCCTATTGCGCTCTTTCTAAATTTTCCTCGTGACATTTTAAATATTATCTAATACACCCATGTATTATTTTTTGATTATCACAAAAATAATTACGGCTTTCACTGACTTCTGTTTACTGCCTTACAGCAGATGCTCAATGAATACCTATTGAGGAATAGGGTAGAAAATTCTGGGCATAGAACCCCTCCCATGAAATGTGTACATCGGCATGTATTTTTCCCATATTCCTCTGCCCTGAATTCAACTAACATTAATGGTGAAAATTTTATTACACTTACCTCATGTCAAGCACTGCCCTAACAAGAAATCCTCCAAGGTGAGTATCATGACAACTCTATTTTGCAGATGACAATGAAGTATAGAGAAATGAAGCCCCCTATTGGACTTTTAGATGGGGGTTCTAGTGTAAGGCCAAGACAGCCTGGTTCCAGAGGGCAAGCATCCAGCTGCTTTGCTCTGCTGCCACTAGCAGGGGTGGCTACCCACACCCATCAGCTTCACACTTCCTTCTTCGCTTCTCTTCCCAAGCAAATGTCTCCTTCATAGAAGGGAAGTTAGAGCCTTTGCAGGTAGGTACAAAATGATAGGGGGTGGTGAGGGGCAGGCAGGGTGCAAAGCTTAATTTCCACATACACAGGTGAGGACAGGAAAGAGCAAAGGATGGAGGCAGGGGGCAGAGAGCCATGGTCTGACTGAAAGATAGCTGGGGGCAGGGAGAGCAGGCTCAGTCACATGAGGACAGTTGGTGAAACAAGGAAACGACCAGTTTTGAATCATTGTAGAATACCTAACAATCAACCTGAGGACTAATGACAATCTCAGAGGCCAGGTGGTTCCATAGAAACCTGTGGACCTGAAGTCCTCTACATCAAGTTCTGTAATTACAGAGTAGGAATCAGTGCCTACTTGCGTGAGAACGAGGTGCGCTTGTTCCCTGCAGTGGACATGTGGACCTCAGGAGCCGACATGCTACCTGTGCTGCTGGAGGAGCTAAAATCTGCTTCGCTGCCTGAAAAACAATGGGGGGGGGGGAGAGAGAGAGAGAGAGAGAAGCATGAAGGAAAGGAAGGAAAGGAGAGCCAGCCAAGGATGGGAGCCAGGGCCAAGGACCAGAGCCAGGGCCCCGCCTCCTAGGTCCCAGCTCCCAGAGCCGCATGCTCTAACCCTCCAAGTGCCAACATTCCTGAGCTTCCAAAAGCTTTGTGCTTTCCTCGGGGCAGACAAGAGAAAGCACAAGACACCGTTTCATAAACAGGGTAGAACAGAAGGCCACGCAGATGGTTTTGCAAACAGCCAATCTCCTGCAGACTATAAACAGTGGCCCAAGCAGGGCAAGGCATCCCACCATTCCCTGGAGGGCTGCTCCCAGGAACAGCACACACCACCCCAAGTGTAAGCAAAAGGAAAGACTACAGTTCAGGGCAAAAGTAGTTTTCCCCAGAAGTTTATCTTGGAGTGTTTGCCATCAGCTCCTGATGTTGAACTTGGCACCTCTGTCTGGAGTCAGCCAGAAGCAGTCACAAGTGCTGGCTGCAGGGGTGGCTTGTACCAACAAGGTCTGATGACAGTTGCGAATTTCTATGACAACAGTGTCAGTGTAGGTGCATCTATTTAGGGACAGACTCTTAACCAAAACAGAAAACTAACATTTATAAACAGAGTGGCAGTAATGGGATCTGTGAGGGAGACAAAAATTGGGGATTTGAGTTTGAGGTGGGGTTGCTAGTTTACAAAGGGAATCGTGAGACCATGTGAGAGCTGTGTGTGTGTGTGTGAGAGAGAGAGAGAGAGAGAGAGAGAGAGAGAGAGAGAGAGAGACTAATAACATGCTGCATGTTGGAATCATGTAAACTCATTTTAGTAAGCAGAGAGTCGTTAATAATGGAATTCTTGGGTGGCAACATAGAGCAATGGAAACAATAAAGTGGGGTGTTTCAAAAGATACGAAATGGCACATGGCTTTGGAAACTGAATCTAGGTGTATTTTACTTGATCTTCTCACTGAATCGCTACAACATAATTAGTGTGGTGTTTTGGCCTAGAATCCAGAGGCAGTTCCTGTTTCTGAAATAGGAGAAAAAAATAATTTAAATCCTTGTATTTCTCACAGACTGAACCATTATTATCACCACAGTGACTGTTTATCCAGTGCCTATTAAGTCCCCAGCTCTGTGCATAGTACTTTCTGTTACTCCATTTGGAAAACTGATACACAAAGATGGACATTAACTTCACTGTTGTATTTTGGAAGAAATGGAAGCTGATTGGCCCTGGGCATGTGGGAGGTTGATCCAGGGTAGGATCAAGTCATCAAAACACATCTGTGATGCTGTATTGCTCCCCTGGGAAGGCAGAGGATGGAGCAAGAGGATCAGCAGGCTTTCTGGGATCAACTATAAGTCACCAGGAATAGCCTGGTATAAGTGCAGCTGCTGTGTAGACAGGTTTTATTGGTTCTGCCAGTGGGAATAGTGGATCATAAGCAAGACAGGCAGAGGAAAAATAAAATCGCTCCTTAATCTTCCAGGACCATTCAGGATGCCCAGCTTTTTTTTTTTTTTTTTTTTTTTTTTTTGGAAAAGAGTCAAGATGGCCTGTTGGCTGAACAGTAACTCTCATTCCTAGTTCTTAGCACATTAGAGTGACAATATGCTGGGGGCCAGACTAGCAATTCCTTATGCATGGTAGAAACCCTCTAATGATGGCTTGCTCTTCCAAAGCTCTGTGAACTTAATCAGTTGCTTCTGCATAAAACCCTGGATAAACTTAGAACTCAACAATCTCAAAGACTGGTAGTTGGTAGTACAATCTGGCAACACTCTATTCCTGGCAGCCTACTTCCCCAGCTTTGTCTGTGAGCAGATCATTGGGTTGGTTGCTAAGTGACCAAGATGGGCAATTTTCAAAAATATATCTTCTTGTTATATCCTCCAGGCCTAAAGTATTATTTTCAAATATGAAATTATTACTTGGAAATACCTGGTTTTCATTTCTTAAAAATATGCAAAAAGTCTTGAGATGCAGTAACTGCCTGCATAAAAACAGAAATTCTAGAACAGAAACTATTACTAAATATCCAGGGTTTTACTAAAAAAATCTAGGATGCCTTTGATATCTAGAACTTATGTCTTCAAGCTAAATGGGTTAACTTGGTTTAACATTTTATTGCTACCGGAACACAGTACAGCGACTCTCACATATTTGCTGAGCCTAAGGTCTCTTTGTTCTGGTACATTCTATCTCATCTCCTGCACACCTGTAAAAGATTAGGAGCCACTCTCAGAATGGCTAATAGTTGCAGCTGTACTCCAAACTACTTGAATGATACAGTGGTGAAACTATACACAGGCTACTTCTCAATTAGTTAGTGATTTCTTTGAATATTTATAATTTGGGGGCTGGTGAGATGGCTCAGTGGATAAAGGCACCAAGTGCACAAGCTTGGTGTTGCCCTTCTTCGTTGTAATATTAGAGTAGAATGCACTCGGTGAATAAATACCAAGGCCACGGGGATGAGAGAAGAAAAGGAAAGTTTCAGCCCACCCTCAAAACTAAACTTATCCTTTAGGCAACACTTGTATTTAGGAATTTAGAATGCTACCTTTTTTGCTTGCTTTTGGAAAAATATAGAATCCCCATGCATTTGAGCACAGAGAAGTCTCACTATCTAGCATAACATTGACAAGTCCTTCTAAACTACCAAAGGAAGTCCCTGCAAGTCTTCTGCTGTCCTTTGTCATTGCAATTATCAAATTAACTCAGATTAACAGTCTATATCTCTAGTTCCAATTGAGACCAATTAACACTCCCATTCCTATTCCCCACAACCACAAATGCACAGTTATTGTCTTTAACTGCCTCTGGCAAGGACTCAGGAGTCACTTCCACTGAAGCTAAGCACACCCTTAAAGCAACAGCTGGAGCAGTGCGCAGTTACTTCAGACTCTACTGAAGGATCTAAAACCCCATTTGGTGGAGCTGACTTTTAGCTGGGAAGGCTGCCGGGATTCAGTGACAGCAACTGAGAAATGTTCCACAGCCAAGCAGAGCTTTCTGACTCTTCAGTCATCTAAGACTGCTGCAAATGCTTTTCAGAAAAGGGACTTGTGATCAAATCCACTAAAGGCAAAGGCTTTCTTGTATTTTGAAAGGGAAATGTTCTTTAAAAGCTGTGGTAGAATTTCCATGTAATAGTATTGTAAGTTCAGAAATGTTTTACTTCCATTATGATTGACACTCGGTTGGTAGAACTCCCAGATACTGAAAAATATAAATGATAGCACTGAGAAGCAAAGGTCCAAATTTAAAGTGCTTAGATATAATGTATACATCAAAATAAAACTTCTAGTGGGAAAATATAAATGTCAAAAAATAAATGACAATCTGAGAAGAAATATGTAGCATGGGATGAGAGGCTTTATGTCATTGAAAACATATATAAATTAGGGAAATAAACCAATAATAAAAGAAATGAGCAAAGAACATAAGAAGACATGAAAGGAAAAATAAAAACAATATACATGAAAAGCTACTTAAAAGGGGGGAGACATTTTGCATTTATCAGACTGGAAAAATGTCCAATACTATGTGTTCCCTTACGAGGGTGTGAAAACAAACAAAGCGGGTGAGAGTATGTGTAGATACAATATGCACAAAAAAGCAAGTTGGGCTCTTAAGGCTTGTGTCTCACCGGCGCCCCTGAGAGGCAGCCTTGGGGGTCTATTAATAGCGAGAGGCTGAATGGGGAAATGGAGCAGCCATTGAGAACACTGCAGCCATAGGAGGAGTAACGTGGCCATGTGGGAATGGGAAGACCTTCAAGCGTGTCATGTAAACACAGGATGGTAGGTGTGGGGCACCTGCTTTTGTGTAAGCAGAACTTAAAATCACCTGCAATTTGCTATACTCTAGAACATTTTCTTAAGGGATGACAACGATCTGCCAACCATGGCCTCCTGGGCAAGCATAACGAACTTGGAAAAGGGCAGCTACAAACACATTTTCACTTTACTAATCATCCCGAGTCTTCTGGTTTAGTTGGCCATATGCATATTAGTCGTACCACAAAAATATTAAGGCTGGTGGCTTAAGTATTTTACAAGTAATCATGACTGAGCATAGCATATTTGAGGGCTTTGGAGACCTTTGAACCCAGGCTCCTCTAACTGATAACCTCTGTCTGTGGAATCTTGAGCGAGAGTCTATCTCACCTCAGTGTCTTCACCTCTAAAATGGTGATGGACATATTAATGGCATTACTAAACAACTGAGGGAATCCGTGTGAAACTTGAAAAGACATGGCAACAGAACCAGGTATACAGCAAGCACTCAATGCATTCTCATTATTATTTCAGTACAACCATAACTACAGCACAAGGATCAAGAGACAGCATCTTGCCTGCTCCTGAGAAAGATCCACAATAAATATCATACTGCACTCAATATATTTTTAATAATCACTTGACTAAAAAGGCAGTTTTCCCTAGAATTGTTCAATGAAGAGCTCCTAAAACAAAACTGTGGGGTGTGGGTACAAAACAGATTCCAAAGACGAATGATTCTAAAACTGACTCCCAACAGGCTACTCCAAGAAGCTGTAGAGTTGCCCTTGGGTCTGAGTCTTGCTTCCAGAAAAGTCCAGGGAAAGTGCTAGCAAGTTCACTACAGTATGCAGCAACCTGGCCAGGTGGCTTCCAAGGTAAGAATGTAAGCAAGGACGTATCCAAAAGTAGACTGTAAGAGCACTATGAGGTCTGCTGTCTGTCGCCCTTATGTTTCCAGGTTAGCTACCTGTTCTTGGCAGATATACAGGCAATGCACCTGTTGAACAGGAGTGAATGAGAGAGCTATAAACAAGGCAAAAAGAAAGCTCGACAATGGAAGGGAAAGCCAGTATTTTCTAACCCTTAACTGCCCTTAACTAGCTATTTGGTCTTGGTTAAAATTTTAAAAAACTCTCTTAAACATTAGGTACACATACATACAAAACACACACACTCAAAGCTTAAC